TGCGGACTGAAACAAAAGGTTCCAGATCAAACAATAGTCCGGGTTTGGAAGGTTGTCCCCACAGATGACAGGTTTGACAAAGTCTGTCTTTGTAATCAGGTCCTCCAGGGACAGGTAGACAGCCTCGGCCGAGGAGAGGGTGAGATGACTGCCCTTTGTACCCAGGTAGAGGAGGCTCTGGCTGGAGAACCCTGTGTAGCCAGTCTACAGATGGAGAAGGAGCTGGGAGACAAGTTGGAGGATATGGTTAGTGCTGATCTGTCCTGTCAGCCAGAGGAGAATGACCAGCTGGACCTGGTGATGGAGACAGACGGGCTTAGGAAGTCAATACACAACCTGGGGACCATCGTCACAACCAGGTGAGAGTGCAGTGAAGGGAAAGAATTGATAATGATGCCATCGTGTCCTTCTTACTCATCCGTCGTCTTCTTGTCAGCGCGGTGGCCAGTCAGAGTGAAGCCATGGGTGCCGGCCTGGAGCAGTGCCTCATAGGACATCCAGCCTCCGTTACCATTGTAACCCGAGACAAATCAGGCGGAGCCTGCAAGAGCGGCAACGCAATTCTTTCTGCTGAGGTCTACTTCCATTTCCAGGTTTTCTAAAACTCATACTTTCCAGACACGAGTCAAAACTCTGTGGGTTTTTTTGTTCCAGGTCTTCACCCCAGATGGCAGCATAGTGGACGGAGAAATTGTGGACCACAAAAACGGCACATATGAGTTTGTGTACACGGTACCGAAGGAAGGTGACTTCTCATTGGCTCTTCGTCTGTATGACCAGCATATCAAAGGAAGTCCTTTTAAACTGACTGTCTCCAGGGTCATGGAGTCAGAATTAGAGGTGAGTGAACTCAGAGGATGGCTCCATGAAATAGAAGCTGAAAGTTCACACTTTCTTAGAGGTGCTCCTTAACTTAGGAATGGTAAAGGTAGTATTTTTAAGTATCAGTTGTAATAGTATTATTAAATATCTATATATTTTTACTTTTGACATGCAGGTTTCTTTGAGTAACCAATGAGTTTCGGTATTCTTCCAGGTGTCTCCTTCCACCACCACGGCAACCAACTCTGCAGCCAACGCCACTCCATCCACAGGCTCCTCAGAGGGGGCCAAACGACGAGGGAAATCCCCCGGGCAGAAGAAAAAAGGTTCAAAAAGAGCCAGCAGCGCTTTGGGCACCCCACGACGCAAAACACAGAACCCCATCGAGGATGACCTCATCTTTAGGATTGGTGAGAAAGACACTGGACAAGACGGGGTTCTCTGAACACCAACCTTCAGTGCTTATTTTCACTCTGTTAAAGTTTAAAAGTAGAATTAACTGCAGAGCTCTTTTGGATCAGTGATGAAGAATATAGAGCCAAATAATGTGACCTATGTCTTCCTTAATCCCTAAGGATATCATGGAGAGAAGGTATAAAAACACAAAGTCCACTTTCACTTCCCTCTGCAGGAACAAAGGGGAGGAACAAAGGAGAGTTCACCAACCTTCAGGGGGTGGCGGCGTCGTCCAACGGCAAGATCCTGATTGCAGACAGTAACAACCAGTGTGTCCAGGTAAAACATCTGATCACCCGCCTGAGGTGATGGATCCACCACAACATCCCATTGACGATGGATTTTGCCGTTCAGACCGTTCAGACAAATGTGTCTTGTCTTCAGATTTTCTCCACAGAGGGAGAATTCAAGAGTCGTTTTGGGGTTCGAGGTCGGTCTCCTGGGCAACTGCAGCGTCCCACGGGTGTGGCTGTACACCCCAGTGGTGACATCATCATTGCTGACTATGACAATAAGTGGGTCAGCATCTTTTCCAGCGAGGGCAAGTTCAAGGTCAGTACTGAGTTGAAGAGGTCAGCGCTCTGTTCTCTCCTGGAGAGGAGTTCTGTTGAGATCTTATTCGTCCCACAGGCCAAGCTTGGCTCGGGAAGACTGATGGGACCAAAGGGAGTGTCCGTGGACCAGAACGGACATGTGATCGTTGTCGACAACAAGGCATGCACGGTCTTCATCTTTCAGCTGACCGGCAGACTCATCACCAAGTTTGGTAGTCGAGGCACCGGAGATAAGCAGTTTGCAGGTAGCAATTACTCAGCAAAGTAGAACCTGACAGAACACAGCGACCTTGGCTTTCACACAGGCACTTGTTGGTCAAATCTGACTTCACATCAAAACTAGTTTAGTGTTAAACCTGTTTAGAAACACTGTAATCACATATTTAACCGGCTCTCCTTCTCCTGTCTCTACACCCTTCATCTAAAGGTCCTCACTTTGCAGCAGTAAACAAGAACAATGAAATCATTGTGACCGACTTCCACAACCACTCTGTGAAGGTACGGACAACCCTCTGCCCCTGTGCCAAGTTGCTGCCGTGGTTTATGAACCGAGTCATGTCAGATTTCTTCTCAGGTTTTCACTCCAGAGGGAGAGCTGCTGTTAAAGTTCGGCTCCAACGGTGAGGGGAACGGTCAGTTCAATGCTCCCACTGGTGTGGCCGTTGACGTTAATGGGAACATCATCGTAGCCGACTGGGGCAACAGCAGAATTCAGGTCCAGTGGTGGTGTGCATGCACGTCATCCAACTGTAGTCAACTGATGAGCTGCTTGTTTAAAATCTTTTCTGTGCACTGTGCCTTCATGTGCAGGTCTTTGACGGCAGTGGTTCTTTCCTGTCCTACATCAACACATCAGCCGACCCTCTCTATGGGCCGCAGGGTCTTGCTTTGACCTCAGACGGACATGTGGTGGTGGCAGATTCGGGCAACCACTGTTTCAAAGTCTACCGTTACCTTCAATGATGGCGGAGAAGTGAAGAGGCGAGAATGGAGAGGCTGACCAGAAGGAGGACCAGTGCATGGCTCGGGATTTTTGCATGAAATTATTTTGCTGACTCCAACGATAGAAGGAAGAAAAGGACAACAAGGAGAAAATTCATCACAAGACCTGAAATGGAACCAGAACAAAAGACAGGAACTGTCCAAAAGGCAATCTGTAACTGATAGACTCTGAAGACTGGAACCACGGATCAATGCAGGAGAGACCTAAGAATCAGGAGGAAATAAACTGTGGTAAAGACAGACTGATGATCTCCCAGGTCGCTAAGAACAAGAAGGTATGAGCGAGGTAATGAACGAGTGAATGAATGAATGCTTGACAAATGTTAGGCAGGGGAAAACGGTTCCATTTACCTGCTGTTCCTATCAATGAAAAACCCAATAGTTCAAAGCTGTGGGTGTGGTTTTATGACTTCTCCATTGTGCCAAGAAGCTAGAGAAACATGGCCTTATTAGTTCTATCAGAACAGTGAGGTCACCGCTTCTCAGCCGGCCGGGCCTTATTAATTCTATCAGAACAGTGAGGTCACCGCTTCTCCCAATTTTTCTCAAGAATCTGGAGACACTAGAACACTTGCATAGTCCCTAGAGAAATTTAACGTTTTTGTTCATAAAGACACAGCAGTTTTTTGTCCACTGTAGTCTTCTTTGATTGGTCAGCGTCACAGCAGTAATATAATTAAAATAAGTCATAAAATAGGACAACTATCTCCCCTCAGTTTGATGATCAGATTCTAAGTCAGATTTTTATTAATGGTCTGTTTCAATGTGGGCCCCTTGAATAGGTTCAAAATATGTTTTGTTCCTTAAACTTTGAATTCTTATCTTAGTTATAGGTATGGCATGTTTTTAAAGTCTGGTTCTGGCACCACCACGTGGTTGACTGCTGTGTTCACATCAACCGTAGGTGAAACAACCAAAAAGTCACAGGACAAACCTAATTTGTTGCCCAATGAGGAGTCGCCCTCAAAACAAATGAATATTACTTTTGTTGTTGACCGTTTTCAGGGGTTTCCACGGCGACACAGATACAGATAACAGATTATCTTCTGAACTCCACCCCCTTGGTTACTCAGACATGTGTTTGGACCGTCTCCACACTCATGTTGAAGACCTCCTGCCTTCCTGACCTCCTGGCTTCAGCTACAGCCACCATATTGGACACAAAACGTAGTCTTTTATTTTGTGAAAGAACGGACATGAAGCTAGGTCATGTTTGGTCTGAACACAGCAGTGGCTGATGAGGTGATGACCTAACATCTCTGTTAGTTTGAGTGTGTGTATATATTTCACCAAAAATGAATCAAAGTCTAGAAGTCTATGTTATATAGCCTGAGAGAACATTCAGGTCTAAGTAAAACATCTGATGACGTTTGTGGAATCACTAACACCTGACCTGGAGCAGTGCCAGACTGGGTGTTCCCAGAACATTCCGGCTCCTGTTGGTTATTTAAGACAAACCTCGGTGTACTGCAGCATGTCTCTGTGGGACCATTGTTGACTTTATGTACAAGTTTACATTTTAAGACCATGACTCACATGTAAACACACGTCACATGATGCGCTCCACTCATGAAAGTTCAGCCGCTGCATCCTGAAGAATGTGTTCAATTTTCACAGTCACTAAACACCATGGAGACAATAATGGTTTGGTTACAGCTGGTACACATTTGCGACCAACTACTGCCTCCATTACTCATGTGTTCACCACAGGGGGCACTGTTAGACCAGTATCTCAGCTCACTCCAGGACATTGGCGTGGTGGTGTCTGAGTTATTGACCTCAGACACCACCAGACCCATCAGTCTGATGGGTAAAAACCCATCAGACAGTGCGACGTAGAGTGGTCTATTTAATGTATTAAACAGACTGTAGACTCATTTTGTCAACGTAGGGCTTTGGTCATTATTATCATGGAATGTATTTGTTTATTTAATTATTCATGTACTGATTCATTTATTTAGAGTTCTCTTATTATCTCACCATTTGATTGTGAACCACCATGTGCTTTGTGTTTCGTAAGTGCCCAGTACAACGTATTAGGCTGTGTTTGTATATAATACAGTCACCTTTATGTTGAATGAGAAAGATGGTTGACGAAGCCAACTGAGCAGAAAATAAGCTAAGTATTTGTTAAGGCCTGGTTGCTTGAATTTATTTTTACTCATGAGCGCCACCCCATGTCACACTCCATCATCTAGTCTTCTCTAATAATCTAGAATTTCAATTCAATTACGTTTGTCTGTATTTACACTATATTTGACATCAACACAAACAGTCATTGATTTATCTGGAGGCAGGAACTTTTTCCTAGGACTGTAAAGACGTCATTGGAATAACTTGGAACTTGGAATTTTTAGTGTGCAGAACAATTTACAGAGGTGCTCACCTTTGTTAACCAGGGGATGAGCCACAACCTAATAAAACAAATGTATAATATAAATGTATATATAAAATATATATATATGACATAAAAGTAGAACTCACCGTAATACTGAACACGACAAAGGGTTTGTCAGGTGATAGTCTTCTAAACACGTCTCTTTAATCTTGAAATCTTGTGAAAACTGGTTTACAACTAAAGTCAAATCTATTCATTTCGTAAATAAAAACATCTTTCACACTGATAATCAGTGAGGATCTCTGCAGCCCAGTACTGGTCCAGCAGCCACAGGTTGGGGACCAACGGTCTGACAAACAGAGTATGCCTAACCTTTCATCAGTCAGTATTACCTGTTCACTTACTGTGTGACTATAAATTGCTTGCTGTCAAAACCAAGCAAATTCTGAGGTGTGTGTCAATTTGCCGTGTGAAAAACAGACTTCACATTGGTTCTAAATCTGTGGTTCTGCTCTCAACACACTGCTCTGTTTGTCATGTCGACTGCTTCTTCTTCTGTCTGTATTTACTCTCGGTCACGTCTCTTACTGTCCACACACAACATGGAAATAAAGCACTGATTCCTTAATGGACGCTGATAGTCGTTGTCTTTTTTCCTGACAGCAGTGTGAGTGAGATTAACACCTTCTTAAACCCCAAACAAACCCCAGACACAGCCACATCACACCTACATTCAGAGCCACACTCACAGTCAGAGCCACACTCACAGTCAGAGCCACACTTACAGTCAAAGCCACACCTACATTCAGAGCCACACTCACAGTCAGAGCCACAGGCAGAGCCCCACTCACAGTCAGAGCCACACTCACAGTCAGAGCCACACTCACAGGCAGAGCCACATCACACCCACATCCACACTCCAATCCACACTCCAACACGATCACCTGATATGTAATCTGACGCTATAAAAGAGGAAGTGGCTACTAGGAGTTGACTAGAGCTGCACTTTCCCCTTGC